TCTAATTATGTTCCCTCAATTCAGTTTTCCTTCGTTCTTACTTTCATGTCCATTCAGAAGCTCAAACGTTCTGTCTGAATAGGATTTTGGGCTTTGTTGAATTTTCATTTCCGGTTGCCTTTGCTGACTCTTTTGGAAAGTTTGCTTTGTTCTCAGTCAACTCATCAGTGTCACATTTAGCTGCGTTAGAGACTGCTTTTGATTGAAAAGCGTCCTTATTTTTAGTTTTGTTTTGCTAGGGATACATTTTTTAAGTGATTGTGTAAACTACTATTCTTTGATCACATCCGATATTTACTCTGCTGGTGACTGTGAGTTTAGTAATTCTGTCATGAAAGTTTTTCATTCTTTGTTTCTCCGTTTTGCTCTCGATGTACATTTTTTTCTCCCTGCAGTAGAAACAGCTGTCCATATCAGCCTTTTTCGAGGTTTTCCTGTTTTCCTTTTCCATAATTTCTCTTCCCTGTTCCGAATTTACCCATGTCTGCTACACTTTTTTTCCATTGCTAGTATGTCACCCATGAGTATGGCGTGTGTAGCCTCTTCTTTTTCAATGTCGTCGGTTCTCTCATCACAACAATGCCTCTCTAACAATCCACGCCAATCTGTTTCCATTTTTGACTCTTCACGCATATATATATATATATATAATATATATATATATATATATATATATATATATATATATATATATATATATATATATACATTTTTTTCTTTTTTTTATCTGGTTTGCTCGCCTTCAAAGACCATCCTGCCCACATACAAACGAAAGATGAGAACAAAGAAACAAAATAACTTTTAGATATGCAGCGATGAATTATATATCAGACAACATAACACTCAATAAAAAAAAATCGCAATTCACAATAAAAAAAAATCCCCGGATATCGAATTTTAATAATCCCAAACAGAAAGAGCAATGATGATGTAAAATAAAACTCAACAAACCCTATTCTTCCCCAATTAAGTTCCAAGCCACGAGCAGACTAATTAGCATCATGAGCGATGGCTGGAGAAAGGAGGGAAGTGGAGGTGGAGAAGAAACGGGGAAGTGGTGATAAAGTTATGATAAAGAGAGAGAGAGTGATGAAGGTCGTGATAGTGATGATCTTCATTTGAATAATGAGGGTGATGATAGTGATGATAAGAATGATGATGATGACAGTGAATACGCTGGTGATGATAAGAATGATACTGATGATGATGACGATGATAATGATGATGACGATGGTAACGATGGTGATGATGATAATGATGATGACAATGATACCAATGATAATCATGACGAGTGATAAGGATTATGATAAAGAGAGAAGAGAGAGAAGGACGGTAGTAATGATAATGATAATCTTCATTTGAATATTGAGGGTGATAGCGATGACGACTATGATGATAAGAATGATACTGACGACGACGATGGTAATGATTATAATGACGATAATGATGACAATGGCATTGATGATGACGATGATAACGATGACCAAAGTATTGATAATGGCGATAACGATGATAATGCTGATGATTATACTAATGATGACAATTATCGTGACAATGATGATACAAAAAGTCAAGACTAATCTCCGTTCTTGCAACACGTTTACCTTTTATATGAATTGAAAAATGTCGCAGAATATATGCCATTGACGTTGCGGACTTGGTAAGGACAAAGGACCTAATTTATTGGTCTTGAGATGTCGACGTAAAGGCAGGAGCGGTTGAGATAACATTAAAAACATGAGAAATGAATGGTGGAAAAATACGTGTCTAAAGTGAAGTGTCAAATATACGAGTAAATCAGGATATTAGTCTGGTGTATCGTCAGATCGTTTCTCTCTCTCTCTCTCTTCTCTCTTCTCTCTCTCTCTCTCTCTCTCTCTCTCTCTCTCTCTCTCTCTCTCTCTCTCTCTCTCTCTCTCACTCACACACACACCACACACACACACACACACACTCACTCACTCACTCACTCACTCACTCACTCACTCACTCACTCACTCTCTCTCTCTTCTCTCTCTCTCTCTCTCTCTCTCTCTCTCTTTTCTTTCTCTTCTCTTTCTCTTCTCTCTCCTCTCTCTCTCTCTCTCTCTCTCTCTCTCTCTCTCTCTCTCTCTCTCTCTCTCTCTCTCTCTCTCTCTCTCTCTCTCTCTCTCTCTCTCTCTCTCTCTCTCTCTCTCTCTCTCTCTCTCTCTCTCTCTCTCTCTCTCTCTCTCTCTCTCTCTCTCTCTCTCTCTCTCTCTCTCTCTCTCTGAGGTCCATCTTTAAAATTACAGTTTTCTGTTTTTAAACACTGTGATGTTCCCCATAAAAATATGCAATGCAAAATAAAAATCAAGCTAATAATTCCAGATAACAATATACACAATGCTGAAAAAATTCAAGTTCATGCGTATTAAAATCAAGTACAAATATATACTGTACACTGCTTCCCTCTCTTGGTATAGGGAACTAAGGTAATGATAGGTCCTTCACAATAAAATCTAATGAAAGTCTCGCCGCCCTAACCTAAGTGAGGGGATGTGTATGCTTAATAAAAGATGATGACAATTTATAACTTTTTTCCTTTATTTCTTTTTATTTGAAAAAAAAATGTATCCTTTGCTGATGCAGCTAACTGGTCAACAATGGTTCTGAAGTGACAAAACCATTACGCTTTAAGCTTCAAGTCACTCACAAGATTCTCTAAAGCCATCTGCTAAGAAGAAAACGATTGCCCAGCATCCCAGCTGCCACATAAAGCTTAAAGCGTCCTTGTAGGATTTAAAACAAATAAACACAAGGGAAATAAACGTTTTTTTTCTTTTCTTTCATTTCAGTGCAAAGGTTCTTTGCGTCATAATTATGAAGATTAACGAATGGCATCCCCTTTATTGTATGTTATCATCCCTAATATTACTCTGAGATGTGTCACCGACCCTTCAATGTCACTTCTAATGCTGTGGACTGACCAAGGTTCGGGACTGGCCATCTTACAGGGCATGTGAAGCAACTGCAGAGCAAGGAATCGTGAATTGTAGAAAAGGATATAAGTGGGAATGAATATGGCAATAGCGCAAATTATGTATATGATCTGTTCCGACTACATCGTCAGAAATATACATGAATTTCTGACTAAGATATATTTGAACTTGCACGATGCTATTCATTTTCAATTTCCCACATTTGTCAGTTAGCAGTGTTCATTTGTGAGACTGCATTTGGAGCTTGAGCTTGAGAATACTTCCACAAGAATGTCTGGTCCGATAAGCAATTAATACCACCAAAGATTTTATGGATGATAATAAGAAATGAAATTGGGGTTCAATCTAGATGCGGTTACAGAAAAAAAGCCATCCGTTGCGTTTGAACGAGCTTTGCCGGAAAACCTAGAGAGAATAGAGAATAACATTTACGAAGTGTCTGAAAGGAATGCAAATTATGTGGAGAATCGGATAAAACAGATTCGTAAATTATATCTGAATGCCAGCACGCAATCTATATGTCGGCTGGAGACCTTACAAGGCAGCCTAAACGTTATGCCAATTTGACGTGTAGGCGGTACATCGATCAAAATGGGAAGATTTATTGCGTAAAATTTGGTCGTGGGATTTCTCTGTACAGATACGGGTCACCAGCTGGAACATAGCCGAAGAGCAATTGTCCTTGGAAATGAGAGAATTTGATATGCTTCTTAAATAATATATACTGACCCTTTGATGCGAGAATCAAGAAAACGGCGTAGAACAAGACTAGGAAGAGAAAATTTTGAATGGAATATGGAAAACGAGCGATGTGCAGGGTACACAGCATTCACTTGACCGCCAGGGGGACACGGGAAAGAACTTCGAGAACTGACGTGATTGTAAGAAAAGCACTGGTTCTCTGAAATAAAGGGGCGTGGCCTGCTAGATGGCCAACAATCCGCAGACATCAATACCTATGGAACACAGAAAGAGAGAAATAAAGATGATAGTGGTGGTGGTGATGGTGATAACGAAATAATATCAATAATATAATAACAGAAACAAACTAATGTTGTGTGTAACAACATTCGCAAAAGATGAAAAATCGTACTCATTTGTAAACAATACTCCACATGAGTTTTGTTCACCTTTTGACAAAAAAGTTTCAGATAAAAACTTATTTCTATATGTTAATATTATGTTGCATATCAAAATGCATTGCAAACACCTCAATACTACATATATGCATATATATAATATATATATATATATATATAATATATATATATATATATAGAATGTGTGTGTGTGTGTGTGTGTGTGTGTGTGTTGTGTGTGTGTGTGTGTGTGTGTGTGTGTGTGTGTGTGTGTGTAAGAAATTCGGCTATTTTGTTTATTTTCGTAATTTGTTTCGCTCGCCTGTATACGTGGCGAGCGAAATGCTTCGGTCGAACCTTTGGTCGAGTCAAGGTTCGCTCGGGAACTTTGGTGTCGGGTTGTGGGTACGGGGGTCCGCACCTGATGGCAATGGTCGGGTCGACCATTGCCATCAGGTGAGGTGTTTTTCCCCCGTCCTTTCCTTTTTTTTTGACATTTGTGTTGTATAGTACTTGGATGTTATAATTCTTTATAACAGGCGGAAGAACCTACGTGAGTCAAGGGCCAGGCAAAGAGGCTTCTTTTTATTCGTTATTAGAAAAATTGAAGAATTCAAGACCACGTGGTTACTCCACCTCGTCAAAGATTGTGGACAGTGGAAAGTATGGCCATTGGAACATTGTGTCGTGGAGTTTAAGAAGGAGTGTTTTTTATTACTTTAATGATAAGCAGTGTGATATTGTGAAATTATTTTTTTGTGAATAAATGGTTTATTGATGGTTCTTAATTTTTCTTGTATCCTCAAAACTAGTAAATCTATATGAAATCAAAAGATCTTGGCATTTACAATATATATGTGTGTGAGTAAACCATCTTCGCCATTTTATTTGATTACTGCACTACAATGATAAATCTTTTGCATATAAATCAATTGCTTAGCAAAGGTAATGACACTAGTACCCTTTTTCCTTTTTATTTACAAATAAACATCTGCTTCAGTACAATTCATGATGCCTTTCTAACTAAATCTGGATTACCCACTGCTATTACGAACACCATCTGCAACAGGATCTTTCTCTCACACATGGCACCCAGTGGAGGAAGATCATAATAGCACAGACATGATGTTCTAATACATCTTGCCTAAGAAAAAGAAGTGAACAGAAGAAAATCAACAAATACATAATTACTTTTCTTCACTATTTTCCTATTATATTAGTCAATGCCCAGAAAAATTCATACCAGAAAAAAAATGTCAATCTACTCAAGTTCAATTTCCAATAAAGTTTACATATTTATATCCTTGAAAATGGTGAAAGGGAAACTAGGGCTTGCTCTGTGAAGAAGGGGGAAGATATATATATATATATATGTATTGTGAAAAATACAACTCTAAATAATGTTGCACAGAAGAGGAAACTCAACCCATGACCTATGTATTCTCCATTATCCCTCCTCTTTTAAAGAGCTACAATGCTGATAAAATCTAATGGTTCATTTCAAAATAAATTTGATAAGTCTGATCCATCTAAATGAGACCTCTCTACATGAAGGCTTCCAGTAATACTGCTGTTGACTTTTCACATTAAGGTCCGTCCACATGATTGTGCAGTGCCCACGGTCTTGCTGTTTGTGCACGTAGGCTATTTGTTATTCAAAATCACAAGACACAGCAAATATCATTACAAAATGTTTGGTTTTATGTTACTTTACTGTTATATCCATTACCTTGCCAACATTCATAGTATTTATTATCATATTCCAATCATCACTAGTAATTCACTTTAATAGGCTATTTAGAAACAAACTCTTAAGGAAAACCTGCTCTGGCTCCAACCCAGCTTTGGCCCACACACAGTGGACAACAATAAAACCCATATCTTAACTCAAGCCCAGTGATGGCCTTGATTTGTGCTCAATCATGTGGGCAAGCCTTTGTAAAAAGTGGATACAGAAGTCTAATTCACATACCACTCTTCTGGTATGCGCTTTCAAAATTAGAAACTTCTCCAAATACCACCTTGCAGCACCAGAACTCTACGCGACAATGCACCATCAATAGTGGCCTTCTTTGGACAAATGGCGGTTCCTTAAATCCTAAAATTATGGACTCAGATTGACAAATATTTTTCATTAGCATTACCATATTCAACACACACTGAAAACCTATGCATCAACATCACTTCTATTCCATAATCACTTGGATAAATTCCTTCATGGAGGGAATTTCATACTTGATGATGTAAGGAATGCCTTATGTAGTCTCACAATTAATAATAATAAGTGAATATCAAATAGGTTTTTTTGCAGTGAACAAAAATCTTTTAGAAATTTTGCCTTTCTTCAAACATCTGCCATCAGACTTTCTGAATTGCAGAGAAGATACATCTTCGAGAAAATCAGCCATATTGCTCAATAGTTACGTGTATTTAGCAATATATTCCAATTGATAGAAAGATAAGCATGAGGTTTTATGTTGGAGGAATGTAAAAACAAAAACAAAGCAAAACAAAATATATTCCAATGAAAAACAGGAACCATGCAGCCTTCCAAAAAGTTAAACCCTTCAAGGACAGCCACTATATGTCTTTAATTGTCCCTTGAACATATTGTCATAGCTTTCCTGCACAAACCAGGTTTCTGTACCAATGCCTCTATCTACAGTACTTATTGGGTAGTAGCTCTTTGATACTAACATCTTTATCTACAGACATTTATTACTTTTCTACTAAAGGTAGGTTTGAACTACACAAGGCAATAGGACACTTTTTGGTTGCTGTTGCAAAGTACTACAGGTACTTTTGAGGTCTAGATTCATGACCATTTAAACTGATAGCTTCATTATGAATGAAAATTGCAAGTTCAACATCTTTCTGTCCTGAAAGGGTTAAAGAATCTATGTAATTTTGATTATCTTAATTCATTGTCTGCAAAATAAAGTCATAAAAAAATACAAGGAAAAATACTGATCTTACACGTTTACATTTATGCACACACCAACTGTTTTTCATTACAAATTCACTGGCTTTAAATAAATATTTTTCCTTTATCTATTTCATTTTTGTATTGTATGATCATTTTCCCATCGTACATCATTCCATCTAACAGAAAATCCATGTTAATTTGTATTCAATTAATAATAGCACTAATGATATTAATGATAAACATGAAAAAAAAAAAACAATCAAGATAAAAAATATACAAACAATAATAGTCATGCATAAGATATTCCCTTCATAATCATGCACAGAGGAACACTTCATATCATGAAAAACGTGCTTGTAGTAATTCATTTACAATAAACTAGTAAAAAGAGAGAGAAACTTTGTTCTGAGAAAGATGTATTTGAAGATGGAGAATTCTTCTTAGTCAAGGTCATCACTGGACGAGGGAGGAGGTCCTCCAGAGGAGCCTCCTGGGAAACCACCTGGGAAGCCCCCTGGGAAGCCACCTGGAAAGCCACCTGGCATACCACCTGGCATGCCACCAGGCATTCCACCAGGCATGCCACCAGGCATTCCACCAGGCATACCACCAGGCATTCCTCCTGGCATCCCACCGGGCATATCTTTACCACCGCCAAATTTGGCCAAGAGCTTATTAATAACAGCGGACACCTTGGGATTGCTCTGGTACTTGAAGATGTTTGAAGGGTTAGTTGAGACATCCTGGAATGCAGCTGCAACTTCAGGATCCTGCAAGAATATCAAGTTCCAAAATTGAATAAAACCAAAATCAAACTTCACAGCTACTAAAGCAATTACTTAAAATTAAGACTTAATATGTATATATAACCTATTTGAGGCAAGCTGGCAAGATGCAAAACTCAAAGAAAACCAGAACATGTGAAGCCACGATTTTACAACTCATATTCTACCCTGTTCCCTGAGCCATCTCCAGCTGCCAGGCCATTTTGTGTACACAGCAGAAGGTTAAATGGGGTCAGCTGCATTCAAAGCAATTAGCCTATTATATCAGAAAAAAACTGAAGGGTAAAATTTAAAAAATTAAGTGTTTTCTCTTATTCCCTGGTCAAACAAAAACACTCAATTAAATCTCCCATACTTCCCCAAGGAATAAATATAGGCTAATCCAAAAGAGGGATAATCCCAGACCTGAGTCTATTTCCAGAGCCAGATGGAACTAGTACACCAATAACTCAAATCTCTGGCCCAGCACCACAATCAAAGAGGCTCAACTTCATCAATCATCCTCTTTAGGACAATTCATCTTCTCTCTGTATTTTACCTGATCTAACTCTGCAGCTATTCATCTTTCACCATATCTTCAAATAGTACTGTTATAAAAGTATACAATTATGATAAATGATGGCTCACTTACATGAAAATATCAATCCACGAATCACTTAACAAAACTGAACTAACCTGCATGGCTGCCAAGATTTCTGGATCTTTGAAGATATCTCCCAGGTTGGGCATACCACCTGGCATACCATCAGGCATCCCACCTGGCATCCCACCTGGCATACCTCCTGGCATACCTCCTGGCATACCACCTGGGAAGCTGAAGGAAGCTCCACCAGCCTTCTCTTGCTCTGCTTGTGCCTAAGGATGATCAAGTAAAGAAAGTCTTTACAAACAATTCTGAGGTGTATGTAACAACCTAGTAACTTCACTAGGGATTAGTAATGATGCGGGGTTGATGGCATCCACTGGCAACTTCCCCATTTAATCCTGACTTGTTCAGTATGCCCAAACCTAATACTGACGGCAAATAAATGATGGTGCTAATATCAAGGATAAAAACAAGCTTCCTTCAACAAGCTAATGGCACAGGGTATATCATTATGTAGCACCATCTACAACTTCAGGGGGCTTATGCCTTATTTCCATTGATAAACAAGCGTGGAATGTGGTATTCATGAACTGTGATTGAAAGAGTGCTGGCTCCATGGAGGACACTATTTCCATGCTCAGGATTCTACTTTGGCCACTGTCACCAATGACACAGGATGTATTATGGAAAACTGAATATTTTGGAGAAAAAAAAAAATAATAATAAAAAATAAAAAAAAACAGATATTAAAATATTATTTATTGTTATCATTATTGCACTAAAGAGATTACATGGAGATTATGCAATGAAAATAGTCTATTACCATCTGGATACAGTAAAGGAAATGTCAAATATAGACATTAGAAAATGGCAAGTTGAAAATATTTATGTAGAAAAAAAGAAAATAACAATGCAAAGAAGAGGCATGGAATCTTGTCACTCCATCATAGTGTTTGTGTGTGCCAAGCATACATGCCGCACACCTGGCAGAGTGTCCACTCAAGTAAGCCTAATGCCCACATTTTGGGTCACATGATGGCAGTGAAGTATTCAGATCCAGTGGCGCTAATAATACAAAACTTTGGTAAAATTCTGAGCAATAAATGGGTTTCTAATGAAAGATACATTTTTCCTTAACATTAGTGCACTAAAAGTGATTAATATCTTCAAGAGGAATGGAGGAAGAATTTAGACTTAGCTTCCATGAACACCATACTGGAATCTCATAAAAAAGTAAAGGGGAAAAAAAGAAATGAGGAAAGAAAATAAGAGAGTATATCAACAAATTACACACGACAAAAAGCAACAAAGAAATAATATGAAAAAGAAAAAAGACAGATTGCATCTGTCAAAAACATGAAAATAAAAATATGCCAATAATTCAATTACTTCACATACTTCAAGCATGTGAAGATATGGAAGAGGTATGAATGACAAAGAATACCTCCAAATACAAGAGACGCATTTTGACAGGTTTCGATTATATCTTCCTCAGAAAATATACTCATTCTATTTCATCTACCTGTTTTTAAATACGGTTCAGCTTGTGAAGAACCAAAATGAAGCGGTAAAGACATCCCTAAAGAGTAAAAGGGTTAATCTGTGTTCCTTATGAGATTCAACACACCTTTCTCGCTTCCTCTTGGGCTTGACGCACTCTTTCTCGTCTCTCCTTGAGTTCTTTGTCTTTTCTCAGGCGATCATACTTTCGGTTGTGTTCTTCTAGCTTCGTTGCCTGCAATTTTAAACACACACTTATTCACAACACCAGGTTACTTAACTGCAAACACTGGGAAATGATAACATAAAACTAGGATTTGATATTTCAAGATTTTTTTTTTTTTTTTTTTTTATCATTATCATTATGAACATGAAAATTATCAGTACTCTTTCAGGTATGGGATAAACAGGTGTGATCAGGTAAGCCTAGTAGTTGACTCTTAGATTCTTAAGTACCTGAAAAGTCATGTGAATGTAGAATAAAAAATAAAACAGAATTATGAGATACTGCATTACACAAGTATTTTCTGCATGAAGTGGTTAAAAAAAAAACTTACATTTGGCAAGACCTCCTTCAACCACTCATCTGACTGCTCATCGAAGTCCAACTTGCATGCCAGTCTAAGATCCTTCGCTGCTTGCAACCAGTTACCCAGCAAT